TGGACCAGGCGTCAATTAGACGTCTGCAGCTAGTCCAAAACGCAGCTGCACGTCTTCTCACTGGCCATAAAAAGCGTGACCACATCACCCCAATTCTGGCCTCATTGCACTGGCTTCCAATTCGGTTCCGAATTGATTTTAAACTCCTTTTATTTGTTGGCTCCGGCTTATTTAGCATAACTCATCCATCGCTACACCCCAGCCAGAGCTTTACGGTCGGCTGACCAGCTGCAGCTGATAGTGCCCAAGACCAGGCTCAAAACCCGAGGGCACCGAGCATTCGCAGCAGCTGGCCCTAGGCTCTGGAACACTCTGCCCCTCCATGTGAGGTCGGCCCAGACCCTAGGGGGTTATAAATCTACACTTAAAACTCACTTCTTCTCTCTGGCCTTCTAGTCAAAGCGGAGCACGACTCCTGACTTTTCCCTGTGTGTGATTTTTTTTATTTTTGCTGTTGTATTTGTTGTAACGTGTTTTTATTGTAAAGTGTTTTTATTGTATGTACAGCACTTTGGCTCGACCAAAAATCGTTTTAAAAATGTGCTATATAAATAAAACTTGATTTGATTTGATATACATTGCTAAAGTATTTACTTATGTTGTTGCCATTTGTTTTATAGCTTGAGCAAGCAAAGGTACTCCAAGCTCTCTTACAGTGTGCAGTATAATCTATCACCTGTCAACATAGCTCCAGGTGAAACTACAACGCAGCGTTTTCTTGTTGCTCCTCTTTTCCAAAAGGCTACAGTCATCAGGTGATGTGATCATGCCTGTAATGAGGCCACATGATCATATGCTCACACAAACACGCAGGCTATAGGAAGTTACACATTGGATAGGAAACACAGTGATTGAATGTGGATACAAAATCATTTTAATGTAAGAAAGGGAAAAGAGATTGGACAGGAGCTAACATACAGTATATTGTCATCTACCCAAGTGACTTGCCTACTTCACCTGCTACCTGTACTTCCTTTCCCTGAAAAGGAGCCAGCTGTGGGAGATTAGAGACGCCTGGGGGGGGTGGGGATGCCGCAGCTTTAAAAACAACAAATATTTGGCCAGCAGTTTTAGGTAGCTATGGCAACACATCCAGACTTGGGTTACAATTTGGATCATGGCCCGACTCCCATGAGCAGAAACTGTATTTAGTGTCATTAACTCAACGATGGATGTCAACTAACTGCTGTGTAGGTTTGTAATCTGGCTGTGACAGCTAAATATAAAAAAGGTAACAAGGATTTTGGTTAAATCCATCCCAACTGAACCTTCATCAATATTACAACTAGGGATGGGAAGATATAGGATTTTATCGCAGCTGTAAAATACAGGTATTATTATGCAAGACTGAAAAGACTCACCTGCTATTTTTTATTTCTTTATACATGCAGGTAGACCTTATAATGTTTAATGACTTTGTTAAAAAGAGATACTTGTACTATTTGTGATGCATTACAAATATTTGTTTCTTTAAAAAAGTGATTCCAGTTTGTTTAAATGCAAATGTAGGCATATTCTGATGATTATGATGATTATATTGTGATTTTCAGATAGAAAAAATCATGACATGGTTTTTTTCTATACTATATTTGTTACAGCTTAACATGTTTTTAGAATGACTGCTAACTATGACTGCAAGTAACAAACAAATGTAGGGTGTTAGCCTATTTATCCACTGTATAATAATCAACAGTTTCAAGAACAATTTTGAGATCCATCCCAAATCCAAGATTGCATATTTGTCTCCCAAACATTTCTTAAACCAGAAGATTTCCACTTAACGTTCAGGCTACATAGATAAAAGCCACACATTTTCTGCTGGGACCAGAGTATTTTGACCGTTTTGCATGAACGATTGATTGGTTACCAATTAGTCGATGAATTTTTGACCAAATGAATAATCCACTAAACATTTCATCTTTAATGGCGACAGTCAATGAAAACAGAAAGATTACTTCTGCCCATGTCTGTTTTGATTACCTAAATGTCAAGGACAACATCATATTGTGGGAATTAAGCTCACCTATTGAGCTATACGACTTGTAAAATGACATCTGGTGATGCAGTTCAATTAATAACAATTACACTATGAATTCCTCTACATTGCAGTAAATACTTCAGCTGCACAGCATACAACATGGCTGAATATAGAGAAGGCAATATGTTTTACATATCTTCCACTTATTTTAAAATAGCTTTTTCAACCAACAGTGTTCCTTCATAATAGTTATGTCATCACATGGTACACAGTTGGTTCAAATGTATCAATTATCAAAGTTAAAGTAGAAATGGAAAGAAGACAACATGTCTTTCATAACCTAACATTTACATATTTTTCTCAGAAGCCTTTTTCCGGTGTAGTCAAGTGTACAGAGAGTATACTGAAGAGAAAAGGACACTTAACATTTCCTGGACACTACTTACCGCTTTGAGTTGCTCCAATCGATCCTTCATGTTTTAGACGGTATATTTAACACCTTTAGACCAAAGAGAGGACCACAGTAGTGTGTCAAATGGCTCAAAAACTAGTCCCAGTCTCTGAATTCTTCAACCAGCTGGCAAACTAGCTGCCGACAGAAACCCACCGCCAGTAAGAAAAACACTTAAAACTCCCCAGAAGTCTTGACAGAGGAGTCTGGGAAAAAATGACTTTTTCAGATAAGAGGAGTCTTTCCGTCGTTTTTCCATACAATATGGCTGCTGGGTTTAAAACCAGTGTTTTTTTCCTCAGCTAAATCTCCTCGCCCAGGGGATTAAAACAACAGTTGTGTAGAGCCGTATAATCTGCCTCTCCGCTGGCAACTAATCATTCTGAAACGCACTTTTCTGGTTGACGCATGCGCATACAAATCCATGTCCTCTGAGATGAAGCCACGCCCTGGGCCACCTGCAGCAGTGATGCATTCAGGTGTGGTAGGAATTACACCTCTCTTAAACCACCTCATACTTTGGAAACAATAACCAATCATTTAATCCACTGATTTAAATGTTTCATTTTTTACATCAATAAACCAAGTATGTTCTGGTACCACCTGTAATGTCTTCCTTATTTTTTAACAGCCTAACTATGTCTAATGTGTTCTGCTTTGTCTTGTTAAGTATTGACTTCTGTATGTACTCTCTGCAAACAGATTAACATCTATGAATGTATGTATTTACGTTTTTTAATACTTGGGCAAGACCTCTGGGCTCTCCACAATATAGACTTGTTGCACTACTTTATTTTGTATTTTTGTATTTTATTATATATGTTGGAGGAGCTCAGGTCATAAGATTTGAATTGCCATTTCTACACTGTAGCTTTGTGCATATGACAATAAAACCTTTGAATCTGAAAAAGGTATAATTTAAATCTATGACTTCTGATTCTCTCTCAACAATTGTAACATTTGAGGAATATTCGCTGGGATCTCAAGGATCTATCACGTAGAGGCTTTATAACCCTGTTCAGGTAGTAATAGCCAGGTAGAAGACACAAATCCCAATGAACGTGCACAATAACTCTCTGTAGACGGTCTCAATCATGTCGAGATCTTCGCCTGTGCCCTGAATGAAAGAAGGTGACTGACACCTGGTGGCCATGGACACGTTATAGAAAGTCAAATTATTCGAAACACCGTTGGAAATATTTTTAATTAAAAGCCTCGTTGTTGTGTCCTACACCCCACTTGTGTGTCTACACCGTCTTTCAAAATCTCCATCTAAAATAGTGACACAGCAGACTACACATAGCATGCTTCGTGTTTACATACCCACCCAGTGGTCCTTAGGCCTACCTGGATTATTACATCCTGTCCCTAAGGCAGTGGCTCTCAAACTTTTTCTGTCAGGCCCCCCCTTTGGAGAAAAAAAAAAGTCGGGCAACCCCAACACAAATAGTCACGTAATGGGCCAAGTTAACATTTATTAAAATACAACATGAACGTGAGCATTCCATTCAAAAAAATCAAAAAATCACTTTGCTAGAACAGTGATAATAAAACAATGCTCCATAAGTCTGTGTGATCAAAAAATAAATACATAATACAATTGTGGCTATGCTAGAACAATAAGTTATAATACTTTGCCACTTTGCAATCTGTGCAAAAAAATGAAAAGAAAGAAAATGCTGATATTTGCCAAGAAAGTGTGTCTTATCACAGGTTGCTGCAATGAGCCTGTTTTGCACAGCACATTTCTTCAAAGCGTGGTTGCAGGCTCAGTGGCGGCGCCAGAGATTTCTTCTGGGGGTGCTGTGGGGTAGCTTGACGTTTCATAGAGGGTGCTCAAACATTTAGGGTTTCCCATTAATGTGGTCATAACAGTGGCATTTTCTACAGCAACAATCCCCACGCAAATACACAGTGTACCTGTGACGATGAAGGCTCGATAATCAGCTCGCCGCATATAGGTGTAAGCAGGGCTAAAGTGCTATTTGTATAAGTGGGGAGTGGACCTAACATAGGAGGGTCCGGGGGAATGGTCCCCCGGGAAGACTTTTTTTTTAAATATTGAAAGTTAAAAGCATCAATCTGGTGCACTTTGAGAGCAAAATGAAGAGATGTATGGATACATCTCTCAACACCCATTTGAAACAGAACTGTAAACAGATTTACTATATGTTAAATGGATATTTTACAAATCACTCCCCTTTTAAACTTTATTCTTTTTTTACTGTCATATAGTATTTCATTCCTGTTTTTCATTTATTCTTTTATTTTTTTATAACTATGATCATATAAACGCGTGCCTCGGAAATAATTGTTTACATTAATCGTGACCAAAACGTTTGAGACCCTGCCACTAGCACCAGAAGCTAACAACGATCTCCGGTACGCGCTCTCAAAATGGGACTTCCTGCTAGTTTCTTTTAACCGATTGCTTACTAGCTCTGACACTTTGTTTGTCTTTATTTACAACACCTCTTTCTTCTACTATAACACATTAAATATGTTATTATCGTGTTCCCCTTTGACTCTAGGGTCACTATTGTCCAAGAAAAGAAAATACAAACCAACATGTTATATTGAGAATGTTTTTATTCAAAGTTTACTCCCCTAAGTGTTTCCAGTACACCTTACAACAGCATTATGAGAGCCAGGTCAGTGCAGCGGAGGGTGCTCGATGATGAAGAGTAGCACGTTGCCATGCCAACAACACTAGGGTGGTTGTGTCTCATACAGTGAATTTAGAACCACGACTTTTCCATCAAGTTTTTTCTTTTCTTAGTTTTCAAACAAACAAAAAAATTCAAAAATAAAAAATCTGAAAAGGGATTTTACAGTTAAGGGGGCAAAACTCCAACAACTTTCTGTCCACATTGGGGGGTGAGAGAGGGAAAATGCAGGTAACAGGTTAAAGGTCATCTTCTTCGTCTGGGAGTGCCGTTTGTGATGCAACCTGGACAGAAGACATATAGACTTTTAGATTGACGGTGCAATTAAGAGTGTTTTTTTTTATTATTCAGTTTTCTTGTGTTAAGAGGTAGCTGGATTAGAATATCAGTCGACAATCTAAACAGACACTGCACATTTATACTTACTTGAAGCTCTTCTTCGTACTTCGCAGCAAGGTTGGGGTCCATTTGGACCTCTGGGGGAGCGAGGGCGGGCATTGCCACAAACTCCAGGTTGGGGTCACCGATCAACTTCCTTGCTAACCACAGGAACGGTTTCTCGAAGTTGTAGTTACTCTTGGCCGAAATATCGTAGTACTGGGGACAGAAGAGTTGTGGCAATTAGAAATGATAGTTTCCACCAAAGACTCAAACCAATCATTCTTCAATTCCAACACAAGTGATGATCATTTTGTGAGCTCAGTTATTACCTGCAGGTTCTTCTTACGGTGAAACACAATGCTCTTGGCTTTGACTTTCCTGTCTTTGATGTCAACTTTGTTGCCGCAAAGGACGATGGGAATGTTCTCACAGACACGGACCAGATCACGATGCCAGTTGGGCACGTTCTTATAGGTGACTCGTGAGGTGACGTCAAACATTATGATAGCACACTGAGCTGTTGAGGTAGCAGAGAAGTTTTAACACACTGTTCAATTTAACTGTTTAAATGCAAGTCTATGGGGATTTAGTAGTGACTGTTGTAGGTATAATAACCAGAACAGCAAGTTAAAGATTTTGAAAAGCACCTTGAATGTAATAGCCGTCTCTCAGGCCTCCGAACTTCTCCTGACCAGCTGTGTCCCACACATTGTACTTGATGGGTCCTCTGTTGGTGTGGAACATCAGTGGGTGAACCTCTACTCCCAGAGTTGCTGTAAAACAAGCAAAGACAAGATGGGTTTAGGAAAGTTGAAAAGGATGCACTCGAACTAGGGATGGGTATCGTTTGAAATGTATCGATTCCGATTCTTATCGATTCCCCGTTTCGATTCCAAAATTGTAAAAGAAAGAGGTCAAACGTTTAATAACAAAAATATCTTTATTCATTTAAGCTTTAACTGACATTTTTACAAATAAAATATATACATGCAATACAAATGTATTGCACAATAGCTGTGCTTTATTTTAACTGAGCTATGCCTGTGGCAAGCTATTAACAGGCATTACACTGTGCCTTGTCTTTTTATTTTTCTCACTCAAGAGCGTTTACCGCGATCCATCTTTGGTGTTATGAAGTGACTGAGCTCGTGAACTGTCTACGGGAGGGGCAACTGTGGACCTCTGTCGCCTGTCAGCGCAACTTACATGATGCCGTTTAAAAAAAATTAAGGGCGGTGCCGGCCGTCAACGGCCCGCTGACGACCGGCCGTTCTGTGATTCTCCAGAACACAGATGGCCAGTCCGCCGCTGAATTCCGCCACGGTGCAGACGGACCCAGTGGAATACAGGGTCTACCGCGTTTAGGAACCGTTAAGCAGAACCAAAATTGTGTATTTTGTATGGGTACACGGTACCCGGCATTTTCTTATCGGTTCTCATCTGGAACCAAGTTTCGGTTCCCAACCCTAACTGAGAACATATTTTTATTATTATATTGGGGGGGTGGAAGGCAATGCAAGTGTTAAGGCAATTGGAGGATTAATATATCATAAAGGATAGAACTGTTGACAATTTCTTGATGGCACTTGCCAATTTCAAATCATAATCTGCAGAAATTAGAATTTTTGGATTGCCTTAGATTAGATTTCCAAAAATATTTGCTACATTATATAGATTGGAACAATGTACTGCAAAACCTTCCCAAACCAGAATTGGGAGGAAAAAAGAATCCCCATTCATAGCGTGACCAAGAAACATACTAAGCAGGACATTTATGAATGGAAAAGTTGACTTTGTAGTGCTCCCTGGTGGATACATGATGCAACAAACTTGATGAACACAAACCTAGTTTGGCCTCTGTACTGCAATTTATTGTAACTTACATGGTGAATATTACTAATATATAAGAAGAATAGGCCCAATAGAGGCCTAAAGGTCATGGTTTAACCCAAAGCCCACTATTATGACCCTGCGTATTGATGCACAAGCTGTTTACTGCAATTGAGGCAGCAAACTCGAGATTCAAAGTTAGTTCTACATATTTAACTCTTCACCTGTAAACATACTGATGTGTGCCTAACATTTTAGCATGGAGGTACTCACCAACATATTTCTTCTCAAACTCTCCTGTGATGTGCCTTTTCACAAAAGTCGTTTTTCCTGTGCCTCCATCTCCTACCAGGACGAGCTGAAGAAACAGAGAGTACATTAAGTTTAGACTGGATTGTACTGGTTCGACACACTGGAAGTTAGCACAGCTGGCCTAATATCACCAGTACAATAGTCTACACAGTTAGAAGACAAACTAGCACACATTAGAAGGTATATAGTGAGCACTCACCTTAAACGTGGCCACTGGAACACACTGTGCCATTGAGTCCGCCATGGTTGCGATGTATCTAAGTTAAACAAGACAAGGCGGGATGGTTAGCACGTTATACTCTCTGCTAACGTTGCACTTTGTTAGATAGTAATCAGTTACGTAAAACTAGCAGTGGTAGCCGTTTTCAGGTTAAATTAGGGGGATACAGTTGCGGTTTGTTACAACGCTATTTTGACGCAGTTTAAAAACGTGAATACTATACCGCCTGTAACCAAGCGACACCCTATTCTAGCATTTTCGATCCAGGCTAAGGTTCCAAACCGTTAACACGCAACGTCTGAATAGGCTCACATTTTAATGCAGTTGAAACGAATACATGCATCATAGCATACTGACTTTAGATGTTAAACACGATATGCGCGCTTCTCCCACCCGTATTTCAGCGCAGACGGTTGCTAGCTTGCGAGCTAACAAGCTAATGACGTTAGTTAGAGTGCGCCATACGGATACGACCGCACTTTTTCTTGTTCGACTGGAACAATCAGACGGCAAGACCAGCCAATGTGTTCCGATGGGCAACTTAAAATAAAAACACAGATAAAACAGACTTAAAGACTTCTTTATTGTCTGTTATTTAATCAATAACAGTGACCACACGTTATATGACTAATTAAAGTGGCTCTCAAAAACAAAGCAGTGAAATGAGGGAGCGCAGAGCGGTGCTTGCTAGCCTGTTAGCTAGCACAGCATGGAAGCCATTCTTCTCACCGAGCTAACGGCTAAGTTAGCACGCGAAATCAAAGGGCCTTATGTAGTTACTCAAGCCTCGCAGGTTCATACTCGACACGCCAAATGAGGCCAAATCACAACGTTCCCCGTTGCTTTAACTTACTTTCCCAAAAACACATACTTGAAATATGGGATCGCCCGCAAAGAGAGAAGATTGTAGAGACTCACCGGTGTCACTGCCTAGAGAGAAAGGAGGTAAATGACTGCGTTCGCGGGAGATTCAGCGTGCACATATGAGTCAGTTTCCGCCCATGTCATGTGATCAACGCAGCGGTAAAAATGCTTTGAGCAGTGGCGAGCGGTGACTTTTATACCAGGCCCTCTGACCCCCCTTCCCTCGTCGGAAAAAAACAAAAACAAAGAAACTCCAGCCGCTAGTCGAGCCTTATCAATACAAATAATCATATCATAACACAAACTGCGTGTGTATCATTGTATGTAGGCCAATGATTCAGCATGTCTGTTAATACGAAAAATACCGAAATATATACAAATGTTTAAAAACGTAGCTGTTCACCCAGTAGTAAAGATAGTAATAAAGTACCGTTTCATACAATGGACTAATAGACTATATGTGTGTACACACGTTTCAAGTTTTTATCATTATCATATGCAGAAATACAGAGAAGCCGTTTTAGGCAATGAAAATAATAGATAATAGGCTCCCATCAACAAGTCTCATTCTGAAATATAAATAAAATCAATATGACCAACTAATAGCAAATGCAAGTGCTAGTTATCATGTTAATTTATAGGTTTTGAACCGAGTCATTCAAATTGATGCAAATTCAGAAACAGGTTTATTGCCAGGTAGGTTCACACATACGAGGAATTTGACTTGATGTCATGGTGCATACATGAAATATAAAACAAGAAATCTAATATAAAACAAAAAATCTTTAAGGACACCGTAATAAAATATAGTTAAATAGCAATAAAATAAAGCAGTAATTTACATGGAAATAGAATGCTATGAATGAATCATAGGATATAACATATTAAATATGAAACAAGAAATATGTGCAGTAAGCAGTATGAACATTGTGTGCATTAATGTAATGCATATAGAGACTACGTTGTGGCTGAGGTAAGTGTCAGTGGGGGGGCCGGGCCTTGTTTAAGAGGCTGGTAGCGGAGGGGAAGAAACTGTTCAGGTGGCGAGAGGTTTTGGTCCTGATGGAGCGCAGCCTCCTGCCAGAGGGGATCGGGGGTGAACAGTTTGTGTCCAGGGTGGGAGGGGTCGGCCACTATTAAATTAATGATTATTTTATCATTGTTATGTGTTATGCTAATTGATTAATTAAATACTTATTAAAAAATAGTGAAAAACGATAATTAAAAGTTCCTAGAGCCCAATATATTGTTTTTTATATTAATTTGGTTTGTCTTATAAATTGCACTGCTAAGGAACCTTCAATCTAAGTTTTTCATACATTACATAATTACACCGTTGTTTTGTATATGTTATGACATAAAACCTTTTAATCTGAATCTTTAATAACCAAAACTTTGTTTTATCATGTTGTGTGTTATTTTCATGGTTTTGTTCACATACAATTACCCTGAAAATGCTAACTGTGATCCAAACACTTTCAGCATCAGCTCTAATGCAACTGCAAAAGGAACACTTAAAGGTTTAAAATATGATTTATTTCAGTATATTAAATGTTAGTACATAACTAAACTCTTTCAGAAAACTCCTACTTACATCAAATAAAGTGCAACAGAAAATAGTCCATCACGGACTGTGGAGGCTACTAAGGATACACACTATAAAGTCAACATCATAAAGTACATTATCATCCATCTTTACAACGCAAGACATATGATTTGTGCATGTTTACATTTTCTTCACTGTTTGTTTGTAACTCACATGAATATCTTAAAGCTAAAAAATTGTCTTTATTGCACAGGAGGACTTTATCCTTTTCATGTAACACATTTGCGTGCAGTGTACAGATCTATCTGTACAGGTAGTCTGCCTGTATGTTGGCTGCTATCTCCGCCTCCCAGCGGTCTCCATTGTTGAGCAGCTTCTCTTTGTTGTACAGCAGCTCCTCATGAGTCTCTGTGGAGAACTCAAAGTTTGGGCCCTGAGGGAATGATTGATGAAAAAAACATGTTAAATCTGAAACAGATAATGATCTTATTTTCCAAAATGATTCCCTTAAACAATGGTCTAAACAATCCTGTTAATTAGATACTTTCCAAGTGACTAAATACAGTTTTACTTCACATTGGTTCTGCCCTTTTCAGTATACAGGATAAGCAGCATATTCTTACCTCAACAATGGCATCAACAGGGCAGGCTTCCTGGCAGAAGCCGCAGTAGATACATTTGGTCATATCAATGTCATAGCGTGTAGTTCTCCTGCTACCATCAGCTCGAGTCTCAGCTTCAATGGTAATGGCCTGTGTTCCGTATACGGAGAGAAGGAAAGAGACAAAACGTAGGTCAAACAGTCAAGGGGCATACACCATGGCAACCATTTTTTATATTTAATTAGTATGGCTGACTAGTAGCAAGAACAATTTCACTATAGTGGAAGGGTTAGATAAAATAAACTATTATAGACATGTTGGCTTGGAATTCTAACTAGTCAACAAACAATAATTGATACCATCGCTATTACCGCTGTTGATAAAGGTCTTTCCATATAGACACATATTTTTTAATTGACACAGCCAAAGCAGCAGGTATTGTGATATTAATTGAGCATGGGCATTGAGAATACATGTGCTAAGTCTGTAGAAATCAAATCACACCATTAACAGAATGCAGGATGTACTATGATGAGAATAGTGTGTAGCATTCAAGTACTTGATGGGTCCTCTTCAACAATATACATTTAGCCAAACAACGATTTTAAGTTTTGTTCATTACAGTAAACTAACAAGGTTTTTATAAGGAAAGAAAATTCAGCCCAAAAACACCGAAACATAGATTACTTCAGGAGGGGATTTCCCTAAATGTGCCTTCAAGTATCCCACGTTTGTTGAGCTGCTGCTGCTGCTGCTTGAGGACACTGATAGATGATGTATCCCCTAACAGAGAGTAAATACTAAAAAGAAGCAAGAAAACACCAAAGAGCTGCTAATAAGGAATGATAGTCCCTATAATACTGCTTTCTTTCTTTTAGCAGGTCCTGAGTGTGCTGGTGCTCACCTGAGCAGGGCAGACGGCCTCACACAACTTGCAGGCGATGCAGCGCTCCTCTCCATTGGGGTAGCGACGGAGGGCGTGCTCTCCACGGAAGCGGGGGGACAGAGGGCCCTTCTCAAACGGGTAGTTGATGGTGGCAGGTTCACGGAACAGGTAACTCATGGTCATCCCCAAACCTGCAGGAAGGTGAGGGTTATGACTCACTTAACTATTATTGTTGATGTTATCGTCAATAAATTCCATTAAAGGACTGCCAAAGCACTTGTATGTTTCTTGATACATTCTGACTTCCCCTGTCTGTGGCACAAAGCACTAAGCTCATTCCTTCATATGTTGCTCCATTTAAAAAGGAGCTAGGGGCTACACATTTTTAACAATTGTGCTCAAACTGAAGGAAACGTGCATGTATTAGAGACTTTTATGTTAAATTTATGTGGATTTTTATTACGTTTTTACAATTTTGGAGTATTATTCATCATAGCAGTCCAGGTATTTACTGCAATTGCTTTGTGGTTACAGTAATTGTTGCTACCAATTAACATGGACTTCTCCTTAACTCTCTTTACATTGATGTAAATACTGACTTGGATTTTACTGTGTTATTATTGACATTTAGTAGTTTTGCGATTTGATTGTCTCTCTCATAAAATCAAATAAACTATAACAACTATTTTCAGCCTTAAATTAATACATATTGTGTATGTTGAACTGACTCATGCTAGACTGTGCTGTGCAACAAGTAATCCAATTGTTGGACTCATTTATGTATTTTGATAAATAGTTTGAGAACTATAAGCTGTATCAGGCAATTAATGAATGGTTGGTTGACACTAGGGGTGGCGCCATATACCAGTATTGATGATTTGAACATATATATATAATCACGTTAAAACTACACATATGATAATATTGTGTAAATATACCAGACTCTCTCTCCACCTTTCTATTTTGAGTGTATTTGACAATAAACAAAGTTAAAGATGACAACTGATAACATTGTTTTTTTGTTCTTTCATTTTTCTGAAGACATCACATAACCTCATAATCGGGAATTATTTAGGCAATGATTATTAATGCAGGGAAAATCTGATAATGTGACAGCACTTCTTCAATAAAAAAAATGTAGAATAACATTAAGTCTTCAACCAAATGCACTATATTGATTTCATAGCCTGAGTCTGTCTTTTTATTTTCTTCCTCCCAACCCCCATCCCCTCAGGAAGCCTTTTGCCTCCTGTCAGGTCATCATTGAAAATAAGAATTTGTTCTTAATTGATTTTCCTGGCTAAATAAAGGTTCTACTACTACATAGCAATCCCAGTACCTCTAAAGAGTTCTGTCCACAGGAGGGTGGTGGCGGCCCGGTCAGTGATGGACTTCATGTCTGTTGGCAGTTCCTGAGCATTTACGAACTCTATCTACAAGGAGAATAAATGGAGACAGAATGGTTGGATAATTTCAAATATCAGTCACAAATGGTTATTCTGCCACATTTGAGTTTATGACTTGTAGAAATACTTACTGTAGCCCTCTCTCAGCACACTGAGACTGAATTGGCGAATGGCACCAGGCCCATATCCAAAGGTGCCTGGAGATACATACAAATGTGATAAAATGATGTTGATGATGCCAAATGTTATGTTATTGTTTCATTGATACCAGGTTCAGTATAGTACCTGGCTTAGAGTAACATTGGAGAAGACGCAGACTCTGAGCAGTAGACATCTGAGAAGAGAAGACTGAGGAAAGAATATTGAAATATTTTTGAACAGGAGGAACTAAACATGTTGTAGACCTCCATTAATGCAACCCAGACAAAAGCTCCCCTCTGAAACAAGGGAGGAGTGAGTGAAGGAGACTGGATGCTGACTGAGAACATTCAACTTTTATTTTTTTTATTAAACAAAAGAACATCTAACAGTTTAAGTATAAAGGGGATAGTGAACAAATATAACAAAACACGTGGCATTGTCAAACTATAGACCACAATTTGATAAAACACAAGTATTCAGTGTCTTGAGAATGTTGTTGTAGGTTGAATTGGATAGTAATATATCAGAAAAACCGTCATATAAGTGATTACCTTGTTGACATTTTTTTTTTCTTAGCCCTGGGGTTGTTTTGTTACAAAATGGGTTAGACACTGACTGTATAGAACAAATCAAGTCGTTTCTTACAAAACAAATAATTGACTTGTTCATGTAAATAAAACGATTTTGCCAGCAATATAATTATAATCATATGTAATTAAAATATGTATGAGTCTCTCTTCAAGACTCTTTTCTTAACCAAATGCCCATTTGCCATTCAAATGTAAAGTTAATGTTCCACATGTAGTGACTGGAAAGTGCATACTCTAATCTGGCGCCCCAAATCCCTGCTGTTATGTAAACGATGTGCCACATTCATGGCAGTCCGGCATAATCGGAAGAATAGGAACTAATTTACTCCATACGATTTAATTTGGAGCATTTGAAGATAAAATTCAAAAATTGTTACACATATTGCTAAATCAGCGATCAGGCCATATACAAGGTAAAAGTAGCATCAATTACAATGTAATGTAACATATTGGTAAGCGTTTGTTCACATGTGAAATTAAATTAACGAACTGTAGACACGTGAATCCCCACACTTGTCTACTATCTATCAGTTTTGCGACTGCTTTGAATCCACTTAGGCAAACGTTTCCCCTAAAAGGTCTACTTAAACCGCGTGTATGGTATTTACGATACTACATGAACGCCTCATTACAAAGTAAAATAACGTTAGCAAAAATTCGTAACAGGTCGATGCAGTTTAATTTATTACGTTTTTGTAATTTACTTCCACCTATTCTAGCGTTACATGTTGTTTAGCCTAGCAATTATTAATCCCTGATTTGATATTACACTGAAATTACGTCGTTCCCCAACTCCAATGTCATAATATCTACTAAATTTAGCAGGGTACTTAACATTGTCTCTATCCCGAAAGCCTTATTATAGTAGTCAACTGTTACCAGTCCGCACGTATAATACTAACCTTTTGCTCAGTGACGTTTTAGTTGAACAACCGGTGGGCAACAGCAAACAGACAGCGGTCCCTGAACTGCGCAAGTGTAGCCTATAATTAAAGCTACATTCAAGTGCTCCTCGTTAGATTCCCATACTCGATTAGTAGGCCTACTCTTGGTAAATGTTATAATACATTTGAACACGATTAATTGCAGAATTACCTTATACAGTATGTGAGCAGCATATTGTGCAGTAAAGATGGCGCATTTTAAATCATATAATAATATGAGCATATTTATCACTCTGATGTCATGTTTGAATAATCATATTTGTCAAACTAAATATAGGCCTAACTTCCTTAAATGTCATCTTAACAAATAATGTATTCCATATACAGCCAATTTTAGTGCTTTAATAGCCAAAGGGGAAGTTGGTTAGGGGCATCATGGATTAGTCATTCAGAGAGAGACATAGCGAGTGACAGAGAGAGAGAGAGAGAGAGAGAGAGAGAGAGAGAGAGAGAGAGAGAGAGAGAGAGAGAGAGAGAGAGAGAGAGAGAGAGAGAGAGAGGAGGAAGTTTTTCCTTCCTTGTCACTGGAGGATCTCACACTTCACCTCTTCTACCGAGTGACAAACATGACCGAAATACAAAAGGTAAGTACTTTAAAATGCATATTCTAAGATACTCAACAACAGTCCTTGCGTGTTTTTGTTTAGAAACAAGGAAGTAGACCTAAACTGCTCTACGCTGATGCTAAAGAAAATGCCATAAACAAGTCGTGGCTTGAAAGGAAGGGATGTTGTAAAGCTTGTAAAATGTTCTTAAGTGTAGCAAGAAGGCACGTTCTTCAAATAATAACAACCTGGACATACCCTATCCAGAGCAGAGATTTTGTGCTGAACGTCTTTGATACATCCACATGTAGGAGGCAGTTTAAAACCACTTCAGCTTCACATAGTCATGATGATGAAATAAGGTCAGATGAATTATGAGATATTTCTTTCTTCAGTAAGATGCTGAGTCCAAAGAGTCAGAAGAACGTCAGTGAAGAGGACAGCTCTGGATCTGATGCAGGGTCAGAGGTCGGCCCTGAACCTGAGACTGACCGCTTTGGCTTCATTCTGACTAATGGATCCACAGCTGGGTGAGCACTTCCACATTTGTGCTGTATACTAGTTCTCTGTTTTAATTCTCTTATCAGGAATACTTTTTGTACATTCAAAACAAGTTGTTCCCCTGGATGCTGAGAAACTATCCCTTAAGTATATCGCAGGTTAATTCGTTTTTAAGAGGTCGTGGGATGTATGCTGAAGAGATTTTCACAAACTAAGTAATCTTCTTACAAAGCAAGACCACATATCTCTATTGAGACCAAGCATCTGACAACCAGCATTTTAATCCAACGCTTTTATACGACAGAAGTGGCTCTGCATCTAAGACACATCCAACTGGGCTAATAAAATAGTGCTCCAATAAGTTAAATGCTCAAGTTCAAGCACTATACAACAAGAAAGGGAGATCATTAGTTTATAATTAAAAAAAAGACCTGCTAGATATTGGCTATATTCAAAAGTTAAATGTCCTCTAAAAATTCATCAAGTCTAATATTTAAATGACCTGTTCCAATCCTATTATTCCACAATTGTTCTAGTGCATTATGGCTTAAGGGAGCACCACCAAATATCTGTATGCGGACTTTGGAATCAGTTGAAGCAGCTATGAGAATCTAATGAGCTTTAAAATCAAGGTAAAAATCTGAAATGACATTTGATTTTTAGTTGTGGACAGTGTGTTATAAGTAGGGTACATCAAAAATGTTCTGCTAATACATTTGTATACAGAAAGTAACATTTTAACTTTATAGAGAGCATAAATGAGGGACAGCCACATGAAAGGTGCAACCAGTGCATAAAACCTAAATATAAATATTTAGTGGTCATTTTTACATGCTCATCTACAAAAATACTACTCTTTTTGCAGGAGCATGTTAGACTTTAATTGGTGAGGAAAAGGATTAATTTTGATGCCTGACTTTAAAAACCAGCTGTCAGCCAGTTTGACGTGCAGGAAGTCCAAATCTCCAGTTGTCAGAGTTAAACACAATTGAACATCATGAAGGCAGACAAATACCTAATCTTACTTACAGGGGTGCTGCAATAATGCTGATAATTATAATTCTGTATAAAGGTGCAAAATCCATGTATGAAAGAGTTCATATCATAAAAGGTGAACATGAAGTATAGTGAAAAATGTTTTATATTTCAGATTCATTTAATTAAGAATACATTGACTACATATTTACATCACATCAACAATGAAACTTCACATATTGGCAGTGGACCAGATGAAGAATGTAGCTTCAGGATCAGTAAAGCTGAACAAACTGCTACCTGCCGACTTGACGCTTTCCTCATTCATAACATCCTGAGCTGTTGCCATGGAGACATCACACTGCTACCGTGTGGTTTTCCTGTTTCCTGTCTTGTTTTTTGGTGCACAGTCTCTCTATAATGACAACACAAAAAGGTGCATGCAGTAGCAGCTCTGCACTCTGACTTAAAGGCCTGCAGTTTAAGGAGAGCCTTAGTGCTGTCCAGTCACTGAATGAGACACATACAAGGCTCTAGTTCTTATGGTGAATAGTAAGTGTTTGGAAATATTTTCCAAAGATCCAAACAAACTTCTGCACACTGCAAAAATTATATTAAAAAGTATTTATTATGAGGGTTTATATTTATGTATTGATGCAGATGTGTTATGTGCCATGTGAATGTTTCCATACAGGTTACTTTACAAATGTAAGCTGCAGTTTTTGGGCATGTACCTTAATCAAAATGCTGTTTAGCCTTTGGGACTTTAAGCATTCATCTGATAAGACATCACTTATTCTTTCTGAGCATTTAGGAGCACATTAAGGATTGTTAATATTTACTGGCTTGATTTATGATGCTGGTGACTGTTAGTAAAGTAAACTAATGTTTGGTATTTATGCATTCTTATTGCATGTGGTGAATGTAATGTGTGTTTGGTTGCAGAGCCACTCCCTATTTAAAATAGCTTCTCATTGTCACAAACCGTTTGCATGATGAAGGGCTATTTTTTAAACATCACAGCTAAATCTATCTGTGAAAATAAGATAGTGTGCAAAACAATGCCCTTGTCTTATTAAATAGATGTTTGAAGTATTGTTCCTTCCTGATGTTGAAAACACTTACTGGATGTGTTATCTTATACACTTTTTTGTGTCAGGACTGTGGGCCCACCCCCTGAGTTGGTCCGGCAGAGGGAGACCAAGTGGATAAATATCATCAGCCAATGGGATCGCATCTTGTTGAAGAAGACCAGTAAGGTGCGTCCTTTCTAAGAGCCATTGTTCATGTTATTAGTCACACCAGTCCTTTTCCTGCTATGATTGAAAATGTATTGCTGTTAAAAAATGCCGGTGTACATTTACCTTGATAAAAAATGATTGTAGTAATTGGTTTTTGCTGTTCCTGTGTCTGTTACCACCGTCCCTGCAGGTCAAAGTGCAGTGTCAGAAAGGCATCCCAGCCTCACTCAGAGCTAAGTGCTGGCCTCTGTTGTGTGGAGCCACTGACAAGATGAAACAAACCGAAAACCTCTACCAGGCAAGAACATTAAACACTCTCACAAGGGTTAATGAGTTTGCCATTTGAAGTGGAAACATATGTTTGAATTAAACCCTCCATGTCTCTGTGGCAGACCCTGGACTCGCAGCCGGCTCTGCAGAGCTGGGTGGATGTGATCGAGAGAGACCTGGACCGACAGTTCCCTTTCCATGAAATGTTCCTCTCCAAGGATGGACACGGGTAAGAAACATTCCCACTTCTAATTGTTTCTGTTGACAAGCATTTAGCTTCTGAAAATTCATATTTTTCAATCAGCCTTAGCTGTTACCACTTCATATTTAAAGTCCTTCCTTGTTGGTCTTTCTGTTGCACAAAGTTAAGAAATTAGATAGTGATGTTGACCTGTCTACATTTTTACTTTGTCAATTTATCTAAACAACATAATGATGAGATTAACATTTTGTTTGAATACCGGTGATTGTTTGTGTGGCTGATTGCTGTGGTGTGTTTGTGTGCAGGCAGCGTGGTTTGTTCCGGGTGTTGAAAGCCTACACTCAGCACAAACCAGAGGAGGGTTACTGCCAAGCTCAGGGGCCTGTGGCTGCGGTGCTGCTGATGAACATGCCTGCTGAGGTAACAGTCAATAACACAGTATACCCTTATGTCCAAAGAAGTTGTACATGCATCTCAAAAAACATTACAGGAATTATTTTTAGAGTCTGTACTAATTTAAGTTTGATCGTTTTTAACATACTAGCTTTTTAGCATTCTGTCCCACAAAGAGATGCTTGACAAAATGATGTATACTTTATTAAAGATATATAAGTATTGTCCTAACTATATAGGGGCTATTGTGGCATCTGATGTTGACTTATTATGATTTTATATTCCATTTCACCTGATGTGACCCCTGCAGGAGGCCTTCTGGTGTCTGGTGCAGATCAGTGATGAGTACCTGCCTGGATACTACAGCCCTCTGCTGGTGAGGTCTTGCACGCATGCACACAGTACATAATGTCCCTGGCACTGCACTTATGTATGTCACACACAACATATTACTCTACTGTAACGTTCTGTAGATAGTTTTTCAAGAAAACTTCCACTTATCATGAAATTACTAACAGGTATTACTCAGATCTGTATTCCTGAACGGTCTAAACATGTGCACCTTTGTAGGAGGGAGTCCTGTTTGATGCGGCCATGCTGACCTGGGTGTTGAAGAGGACGTGTCCAGCTGCTCACAAACACCTGCAGCACCACGGGGTGGAGCCCCTCATGTTCGCCACGGACTGGCTGATGTGTCTCTTTACACGTCACCTGCCCTTCAACACACTGCTCCGAGTCTGGGACCTTTTCTTCTGCCATGGTACGTCCTCCATATAGGCTGCTATGGGTCAAAACAACTCAAATGATGTCCTGAAAGTAAGGCAATGTTAACAAAATAGTAATATCTTAGACACAATAATCATCATATTATATTTTATGGTACATTTCAATGTGTCTCAATTGTTTTTCAA